GGAGGGCCGAGGAGGGGGGGGGAGGGGAGAGGCGAGCCGCGGCCGCTCCGGCTGCGCTGCCTGTCGCTCTTCGCGCCCCTCGGAGGCCGCCGCCCCGTTTTTGCACGTGCGCGCGCGCCCTGGGCAGCCCCACCCCCCTCCAGGCCTCCCTGTCGCCCTCCCCCCCTCTGGCGTTGGGCGTCAGGGTGGCTCCTCCTCCTCCTGCACCTCCTCCTCCTCCTCCTCCCTCCTCCTCCTCCTCCTCCTCCTCCCTCCTCCTCCTCCTCCTCCTCCTCCTCCTCCTCTTCCTCCTCCTCCTCCTCCCTTCCTCCTCCTCCTCCTCTCTCCTCGTCCTTCTCCCTCCTCCTCCTCCCTCCTCCTTTCTCCCTCCTCCCTCCTCTCTCCTCCTCCCTCCCTCCTCCTCCTCCTCTCCCTCCTCCTCCTCCTCCTTCCTCCTCCTCCTCCTCCGCCTCCTCCTTCTCCTTCCTCCTCTTCCTCCTCATTATCATCCTCATCCCTGTCCTCCTCCTCCTCTTCCTCGTCCTCCTCATCCTCCTCGTCCTCCTCCTACTGCTCCTCCTGCTCCTCCTCTTCCTCATCCTCCTCCTCTTCCTCCTCCTCCTCCTCCTTCCTCTGGGAACCTCGAGCCACCATGGCGCCGAAAGCCTGAGGAGTCGTGAGAGAAAGTCGAGGCACAAAAAAACAGGCAAGAACATTGCTCGACGCAGAGATCTTGGTTCCTGGTACGTCCCGCTGTGAGCGTCTGGCTATGAGTCCTTGGGTGTAGGAGCGATTCCGAATGGACGACGGGTCAAACGACCACGACGACGACGACGACGACGACGACGCCGCCGCCGCCTGCGGCGGCGACGGCGACGGCGGCGGCTGCGATGAGGGACAACGCCAACCACGACGACAACAACTCACAGACAGACAGGCTGTGAGCAGGCCATTCCACTCTCCTTCCTCGTCTCCCTCGTCGTGCCCATCTCTTCTCTTCCTCCGTCCTCCCTTGTCCCTCCTCCTGCGTCCGCCTCCTTCTTCCTCCTTGCTCCATCATCCTCCCTGGAGGCCGCCCTTCGCCCTCCTCGTGCGCCCTCATCCTTCCTCCTCGTTGCCATCTCTCCTGCGCCGTCCTCCCTCCTTCTCCCTGGCAGGTCCCCCCCTCCCTGGCGGCCCCCTCCCCTCTCCTTCGTCCTCCTGCTCGCCGTAGCCCGTCCCTTCTCTTCCTCCCTCCTCCCTTCTCCCTTCTCTCCTCCCTGACGGCCCCTCCCTTCTCTTCCTCCTCCTTTCCTCCTTCCTGACGGCCGCTCTTCTCCTTGCATCCAGGTGACCACGGGGCCCTGAACAGACAGGAGTCAGAAGTGCAAAGCGAGTGCCTCGTTCGAGGCATCCTCACAACCCGCTCTGAAAGCAGTGGCATCTGGGGGGCCGACAGGCGACAACCCTGAGGCATCCCCACAATCTGGCCGCCAACGGACCCAGGCAATCACTCCTGGCGGCTCCCCCTTGGGGTTGTTGAAGCCAGCGCCTCGCTCGAGACATCTTCACAGTCTGCAAATCCGAGTGCGGGTGTGTCGCAAGTCTGAGAGCGAGTGAGTTATCGTGTGAAGGAGTCCGAGCATGGGTGGGTCCGAGAATGAGTGAGGCTGAGCGTGAGAGAGCCTGAGCACGAGTGAGTCTGCATGCTGATGAGAATGAGTCTGGGTGTGAGTGAGTCTGTGAGTGAGCCTGAGTGCGAGTGAGTCTGAGTATGAGGCATTATGAGTGCGAGTGAGTCTGAGCATGAATAACTACGAGGATGAGTGAGTATGAGTGCGTCTGACAGTATGAAGAGGAAGGAGGGAAGAGCAGGAAGGTGAGGGAGGCGGCGGCGTCAGAGCAATAACAAGAAACCCATCTTAAGTTAGGGGGACAATTCCCGGAGGTCTGCGAGAACCTCTTGGGTCGACGCCGGTGACCCCTCCCGCAACCCCTGTGCGCCGGCTCCAGCGCCGCCCCAGCACGCACGCCGGGGAGAGGCGGGAGGGGGGTCCAGCGCCGACAGCAGACATCTGCGTGGACATCCCGAAGGCTGTTTCTTCAGCGTTCCGATATTCTGCAGTCAGTGTGATAGTTCGCCAGTAGGGATTTACGGCCAGACCGCGGCGACGGCGATGGCAAAGACGGCGGCGGCAACGACGACGTCGCCAGCGGCGACACCGACGGCAACTGCGACGTTTGCGATGGCGACGGCGGCGTCGTCGGCGACGAAGGTGGCGCCAATGAAGGCGCCGACGACGCGGGGGGCGACGACGATCACAACGACGACGACGACGACGACGACGACGACGACGATGACGACGACGGTGGCGATGGCGAAAATGGCGATGGCGGTGGCGGCGACGATGACGACGACGACGACGACGACGACGACGACGACGACGACGACGACGGTGGCGATGGCGATGGTGGCGATGGCGGTGGCGACGGCGACGGCGACGGCGCGGGCGACGATGGCAACGACCACGGCGGCGACAGCGACGGCGACGTCATACCCTTGTTTTTGTTGCCAGAACTGCTGGAAGGCTCGCGCTCGAAAAGAAAACGCAGTGCTTGATCGCACTCCGTGGGCTGGTGGAACCCCCTCTGCTTGGTAAAAACGCAGTGCTTGGTCGCACGCCGTGGGCTGCTGGAACACTCTGAAGTGGTAAAGCTGAAGTGCTGGAGCCCACGCCGTTGGTTGCTGCAGCGCACGTCCTTTGTACAAATCAGTGCTGGAGCGTATCCGTGTTGTCGGCGTGAGCGTCTGGAACGTCTTCGCTGAAAAAAAGTGGGGTGCTGGAGCGACACCCCATGCAGTGTTCTTAACACATGAGCAGAGATGCGAGGAGAGGGGAGGGCAGGGGTGACTGGGGGCGCTAGCATTGTACTCACGCCTCGTTATCAAAACGGCCTCGGTCGAAGCGAGGACCAAAGCGTGAAGATCGTGCCAAAGATACCACGAAGTGTGAACATGCGCCTTTAAAAGTTTTGACTGGCAACAATATGCTACTGACTGTGTATGAAAGGGCTTCCTTGCCGAAGCTACAAAGCTCCAGAGAAGCCCAAGAGCCACCTTGCCTTCTCAGAGGGGCGCCTCCTCGAGCCAGCCCTTTCTGTTGCACGCCGCCCTACGGGCCCAGGGCGGGCGGGGTCGGAGGATCGGGCCACATCGGCGATGCATCGGCGACGTCGTGATATAGAAAGTTGGGCGCAGGACGGCGCGGCATCGCTGACGCATCCGCGACGCGGCGCGATCTCGCGCCAAGGGAGAAGCGCATCCCCACGCCTCTTTGCCGCGTAAAAAGCGGGGGGTGAGGCGGGAGGAATGGGCCGGGGGGGGGCGTGAGGAAAAGGAGGAGGAGGAGGAGGATATGAGGCGAAGGGAATAATTATTCGACAATGAGTACATGGGAGCGAAGCACCACGCACACACCATTATCTTTCTAGCCCCTGCCACCGCGCGTGCGCGCCGCAGCCGCTTACTCAAGGTTGTGCACTCGGGTTTGCTGGTGTCGAGCCGCCCCGTCCGCTTGCTTGCCAGTGGTGCGTCTCGCGGTTGCGGGCATGGCGGGTTTGGACGGCGCGGCAGACGCCGCGGGGCCTTGGCCGTCACCGGGCTTCGACCCGGAAGCTGCTGCAGTACACTGGCGGCTTGGGGACGTCGCAAAGTGCCGGGTGCATGGCGAGAACGGGAAGGCGCAGGGCATGATCATCCTCGCGATCTAGGCCCACGGCCCGAAGAAATGCTTGCTCGAGGCGGAGTGCGTGGCAGCGAGCGACGAGTACGACTCGTGGGGGCTGTTTGAGAACGACGGCCACCCGAACCCAGGGCTCTGGGGGCAGACCGCCGGCAAGGGGGCCACGGCTGGCGCCCGGCCATTTTTACGGACCGGTGGCGGATGCTCAACCCGAAGGCTGCCGGGCCCCATCTCGCGGACGCGAAAATGCTCAAAGTCGACGCTGCAGGCCGCTGCATTCACCCAGGCCGCGCCCGGGAAGGCCACGAAGGACGACGGGGAAGATGACGAGAACAACGGCAAGAAGGACGGCGAGAACAACGGCAAGGGCGACTGTAAGGACCAGGAGAAGGACGCCTACAAGTGGGACGGCCAGACGCCTCTGCTGACCCGTCCGCCGGCGGGGCAGGTTGGTGCCGACTCGGCCGCCTTGCGCGACGAGCTGTGCCAACTGGGCGCGGGACCGCGGCCAGGGCCCCGGTTGGGCGCGCAGCTCTGGGCGCGAGCGAGGCCCGCCATACCGGCAGCACCTAGAATCGCTCGCGCAGCCGGAGCCGCGGCCAGGCCGGCGCGAGCCCGCGGCGTTCTCGGGGCGCGCAGGCAGCGGGCGAAAACCCGCGGCGGCCGGCGCCGCGGAGCTCGCCAGGGACGAGCGCCCAGGCCACGCCCGCAGCCGCAGCAGGCGCAGCGTGCGGCGCCCCTCGAGGAGCGACCGCCGCCGCCGCAGCAGCCGGGGTGACCGCTGGCGGAGGCGCCGAGGGCGCCCGCGCAGCGACGACTCCGACCGGTCGGTTTTTCGCTTCGCCTCGTCGTAAAGAGCCGCAGTGGAAAATCCCGACTGCTCTCCTTCGCCGCGGCCCGCGAAGGGGATTTAGCGGCCCAAGATTTCCAGCGCATGGAGATCTACTACGTTCAGTTATCGCAGCCGACCGGCTTCCAGATCCGCAGCGCCAGGGAGACGTCGACGGTGGTTCCGCGCCTCGATAACCCCGCCCTCAGAGAACACCGAGAGCCCGAGGACGTCCTGGCCCAGAAGCTGAGGGCGCTGAAGCTCGCGCACAATATTGGCCCCGGGCAGAAGGCGCAGCACGCGAAGCTGATCAAGCCCCTCGATTCGGCGATCGCGGACAAAGAAATGGAGCTCGCGGCGGCCGAGGAGACGAAGCTTCAGAGCAGGCTCTTCTCGACAGGGCCCAACTACTCCGACGACGCCTGGAGCTCGCGCGCGAAGGCAGAGGAAAGTGGAAGGGCGACCCATGG